TACAGAAGTAACGCCCGCGTAAACGTAGAGTAAATGTGCCGAAATGTCATAATCCCGAAATCTTAGAAATGAGACAATGTTCCGAAAAGTTATACCGTTCAATCGTATATATATATATATATATATATATATATCAGGGTGCCCCTGATCCACATCGTCCACTGTACCACTATTATTTAGAAGCGACACCATGTGCATTTCGTGAGAATAGGAGGTCATGGATATGTACGGCCCTGTCGGCCATCCTCAATCTTTGGTAAATGCTCATTATCCTATTACTTGATCTGGGAAAATGGTATAAGTATAATGTTTCAGTAACTTAACATTCGCAATATTTTATTTATATTACTCTCATTTTATTGAAAATTTAAACTTTATTTAATTTTATATTTTAAATGTAATATTTAAAATTTGAAATACCTATATGTAACACCTAGAAATTTGCCTTACGGGACAAATATGTACGTCACTGTATTATTGACAAACAGCTTTCCTTGGAGTTAATTATATAACACAAATGCTGATATTTATCGTGTTTTTGTACACGAATTGATCATGTAAAGTTACTGAATACTTTATAAGAATGATATTTCTCCAGATGGTACACAACCGAAGGAAAAGATCGGATCCTGCAAGCACCGAATCAACTAAATCTGAGATCATTGCACATGACAATGATGTGGTCGCGAAGTCGTCCTTAACTGACGCCAAGCATCCTACAACCATCGACTCGTTACTTCCAGAAAACGAGCCTACTGATACTACTGGTAAACATTCCAAAGAACAAAAACAAAATTTGTGATATCTTTAAATAGTAATCTAATGCACCGTTTATCTTGAAAATCGTGTAACTTCAGCTTATACGAGTTCCAATGAGACGCAAAAGTAAAAAAATCAATGTACCGATCACTGAAAAAAAATTTTTAGATCAAAAAAATTATTTATTTAGATTGTGGCCAAGAGATTATTTATTTAATATAATGCACATATTTATTTAGAATTAAATATTTTTACTTAATTTAAATAAAAATATTTAATTCTAAATAAAGATGTGTATTATATTAAGTAAATAATATCTTGGCCATAATATAAATGAATATTTTTTTGGATCTAAGTATTTTTTTCTCAATGTATTAGTACGAATTCGCTTGAATGTAAACTGTTCAATTACAGATAAGCGGGTGGAGAACCGTCAGATCACGAATGAATTATACAAGAAAACTACGTTAGAGAAGAAAGAACGTGGTTTTCCTGTATAGTCATCTAACGTGGATTTGTTGTATAGTCATTCGTGATTAAATCAAATACGGGGGTTTTATCTGCAGACACCAAATGGTGCGGAGCAGGCAACCAGGCCGATACCGACGACGATTTGGGCTCTCTTTCAAAGAAAGATGCGTGCTGATGTAGAGGGAATGATTTCTGCCCATACTCGATACCGCCGCAAAAATGCATAAATGACTTTTGCAATAATTACAATTATACTATGTCGCATTATATCCATAGTATAATTGGAATTATTGCAAAAGTCATTTATCGGCAACCAATGAGATTGTCGGTGCGCCATATGACACAAATGACAGACCGTTCCCAAATTATAATTTTAACTATTTATATGATTATCCGTACGATTGGAACAATGATTGTCCCTGCATTGTCCCAATCATTGTCCCACATATAATTTAAAAAATTGTATAGAATTTTGAATTAAATTAAAAAAAAAGAAATAAAAATTTGAAGAAAAACAAGACGAATTGTAAAGTCTATAATGTTGTAAAACAGAGAGAGGGGGGGGGGGAGGAAGAAAGAGATTAAAAATGTATTAAAAATCGTGAATTATGATCTCTGAAATCTTGAATTATATAATCTCTGAAATTAAAGCAATAAAGATTTTTATATTAAATTTACAAATATATAAGTAACTGTGTAACAAGTTTATCAATGATATTAAAATGTAGAGTCTTCCATGTTTTTTAATGTGATCTATAATTGAAGTAATCCATGTTAAAAAAAAATCCAAGTCAACGAAGTCAAACATTATACAATCTCTCATTTTGCATCGTAAAAAGAAGTATTTTGTAACTTTGTATGACAAAATTGAGAGTAAAAGTTAATTAAAAAGCCATTAAAGAGAATAATTAAGTTTTCTTATAAATATAATGTTATAATTTTCAGATTTTTCTCGATATAATTATGGTAATCTTAAATTTATATTATATATATAAAAAAATTATATTACATCATAAAAGAATATCTTTAAACTAAAAGATCTGTCATTATCATATCAATTCCATGATGACTATTTTTTTAAAGCGCGCCAATATTTCTATTATTCTATTGTTTTCCATTTTAATATATTTGCTGTACTTTGTCATGCCTATTATTATTTTTTTTCTACATTATTTATTACAACAAAAGTCAAGTATTCATTAAAGATCCAGCAAACCCCATTCGTCATACATTGGAATTCTCTTCATCATCAATTTTTTATAACTCTCGTTCTTTAGACCCGGACTTGAAAAGGTATTAGGATTCATCATCTCATCTAAATCTTTCACCTCAGTTTTGCAGCACAGCACTATCGGTAAACATGAGAAGGATGATATCATTCCATAACTGGCTCTTTGTTTTAGGGTAGCTTTCAGTTCTTCCATGGTGGGTGGCTGCGTCTTGCAGCCCAGTTGCTTCATAGTCGCCGACAGTGCGCCAAGATATTCATTTAATAAAACATCTCTCTTGTTTTCAATGACATCCGGGGAAGGACTTGTATTGAGAAAATATTGAAGATCGATTGCCGGCGATGTGTAGACACACATTTGGAAATCCACCTGTAATATATCAAACAAACTCTGTCGATCAACCGATTTTTTAAGCTCCTGGCAATTGAATTGGAAATAAAATCCGTGCCCCGGGAAAGAAATGAAACTCATGTTTAGAAAATCGCGGCAAGAAAGTTGAGAGTTCGCGCAAATGACACCGGCAAACAGGTGGCGGTTGAATGTACCTGAATGTAATCAAACTAGATTTATGCATTATTCATAATCTACTGCAATTTCAAATATCTCATATTAGCGCTGCCTCTTTGTCTTGATCGCTAAAGTCGATGTTGCGAATTATTGGGCGCGTTCAGCAGACACAACTGTTGCACAATTGTTGAGTTCGTCTTATCAACACTCTGCGTTGATTGGTTGATTCTAAAAGTAAGAACCAATCACGTTCGATTGCTACTGAGCGGCTTAGTCTGCTGAACGCGACCATTAAAATGCGTTAACATATACCGTATACTTTTTGGAATATTATTTACTTATTCGTTACTTATTCATTTTGTTAATTTTTATGTAAATTTATTTTGCATTTAACTGTAACTTGCATTGCATTCAACTACAAAAATAATAATAAAAATTCAGAAATATCCCACTCGGCATGTTATGTTGCTGAAATATTGAAATATTCGGAAATAGTACAGAAATATTTCGTTAACATTTTATTTGTAACTATGCATCTGAAATATTTCAGAAATGTACCTGCATCATGTTTTTTATAATATTGCATTAACAATATTTCTGAAATCTTTCAGAAAGTTGTTTACAATGTTTGTAAGTGTCTGTATAATATTGCAAAAAAATGTAGCAGATGCAATATTTCAGAAATATTTCTGAAACATTATAAAAGTAATATTACGTTTGCATTGCACAAATAATATTTCTGTAACATATCAAACGCAACATTGCATTTAAAATATTTCTGAAAAATTTCTGAAGGATTGCGTAGGTAATGAAAAATTGAATTGCAGGCAGTGAATTTCTACAATATTGCAGAAGAAATATTGCAGATGTAATGGTTTAGACACATTTCTGATACATGATAAAACTATTATTTACATTTAAATTGCACGCGTTATATTTTTGAATGTTTCACATACAACATTGCATTTGTAATATTTCCGAAAAGTTGCTGACAGACACTTTAGAACTTATAAAAAATTAAATTTATTATTATATAATTATTACATTTTATTGCATTTTTTCTCTTTTATAATATTAAGAATTTTCTGATATTCCAAATTTTGTCATATGGCATTTTTAATATAAAATATAAAATACTTA